CATTTAACTCTGTAGCAGTTCTGAAAAGTTCTATTATTAAATGTTACCAATAGTAACATGTGCCTCAGAAATAAGACCCGACACAGCCATGACGAAAAAGCTACTGGAAACGACAAAGATGAGAGTACCGAGAGATAATAAGGCTTCTACTCACAATCCGTAATAGGTTTTTATTAAAATTGAAAAAGTAAAGATTAAACTACCGGTTTCGCTGTTTACAAACTTTTACAGCATATTTAGGCCTTCAAGAACCTCAGGCTAGAATATAAATGGTACATGTAAACAAATGTGCGAATAAAAATAAAATAAACACAATAAAATATTGGAAAAATGGAAAACGAGAAAAAAGAGATAAAATCAGCCAGAAACCTAAGAGGTATAAGAGTACTTGTTAAATACTATCTGAAAACATATAGCTAAAATTTTACAAGAACTTATGAATGAGAGGATAAGTTTAGCAGATAAACAACAGGGTTTTCGTAGTGGAAGCAAACAAATCTATGCCTGATTGAGTTAAAGAAAGCATTTAAAGAATTTGACAGAGTAAGACTCAAAAATGTAATCCATTTTACGCTTACTACAAAAGTTCCCCTATATATTAAAAAAACTATTAAAAACATCTATTAAAACAACAAAATGAAAGTAAAAATAGATGGAGGACTTAAAAAAACCTATAGAAATATGCTGCGAAATTAGAAAAGGGGACTCATTGCTCTTCAATTTAATCCTAAATGAAATCATTAAAAGCGTTAACAAAAGAAGATGATACAGGATGAAGGTATTCTGCAACGACTGGTTCATAGATTTAACATTAGAGCAAAAGAGTTTAATAAGACGATCTCATTTCAGTAAACCAAAACAATGGTAATCAGCTAAGAACCACCAGACGTAAAAAAGAAATTGATGGCATCAGTATTGAATAAGTAATAGAAATAAAATACCTGGTAATTACACTATCCAGCTATGGAGACCTGAACAAAGAAGTGGGAGATTAAGTACAAAAAGCAAATATACTGGGAGGATGCCTTTAAGAGACAAAAGACAAAAAGAGATAAGACAAAAGAGACACAATAATACTGAGATGAAGTCAAGAATTTATAAAGCCAGTATAAGACCAATAGTAACATGTGCCTCAGAAATAAGACCCGACACAGCCATGACGAAAAAGCTACTGGAAACGACAAAGATGAGAGTACCGAGAAGATTTACAGGAAATACGCTGAGAGATCGAAAATGAATGGACACAAAATAGAGAAAAAAGAATGGAATAACCACATGAGCAGAATGGGAGAGACTTGTATCTTAAAAAAGCAAGAGATAAGTCATCAATCGATAATGAAGTATCAGACGATCTAACCCCGTAAAAGATAGAATGATAACCGTCCATAGAGGTAATAATCCGCTAATGAACAAGCAGAATGTCTTATAAAGAGGAAAAAAAGAAGAAAAATAAATGTGTATATGACAAAACAATCAAATATTAGAGTAGTACAGAGAACTTTAGCAGTCGGTCATAAAATGACAATACACAGTTCTATTGTTGTTTTCCACTCCACTGCCTTAAATTTTTCAACTAGAACATGCGTTGTCTCCCCGGTCCTATTTTGCCTTAACTTTCTCTACTAATACTAATCGCATAAACTCATAATTTTTATTTCTTAGTATGTGACCAAAGTAGCTCATTTTTCTTTCGTTTATAGTGTTGAGTTTTTCTATTTTCTATTTTATTTTTTTTTAACTTTCTTAATGTTTCTGTGTTTGTTACGTGTTGTGCCAATGATATTTTCCATATTCTTCGAGAACACCATTTCTCAAAGCTGGCAAGTCTTTTTTTAGTTGCGTCCATAATTGTTCAGGCTTTAACTCCATATATAAGGGCAGAGAATACGGAGCATCTCAAAGAATACTCCAGTTCTAATTTCTATTACCAGTTTTCCATGGCATAATTCTGCTTTTATTTAATTATTAAAAGCGCTTATGGCTATCTCAATAGGTCGTTTTATTTCAAGGCTGCGGTCCCATTCTTCAATTAGCTCCCATCCTAAGTAAAGGCGGGTTGAACTGATCCAAGAATCCAACCCCCTTAGATCCCAACTTAGACCAAGTGTACTTGTACCAAGTTGGTTGCCACCGTTAAATGACTTAGATATCAAGTCAAGTAAGTCCAGTGATTGTGGAAGGTGTTTTAGTGGATGCTGATATGTTGATACATGAGCTTGAAATCCAGGAAAACGGAATAAAAAAGAAAAATGATGCCGCAATTCTAGCATCCTTATTTCTATATTTCTTTATCCCTACATTAAATAATGCGTCCTCAGCTTCGTATACCTCCAATAATCTAACACTCTTCCTTCTAGACCATTTTCTTTTTGTGTTTACCTCTTCATTTTTGATTTTTCGACACCGACGCCATTAAAATTTTACAATACCACACTACTTGGATCCAAGAAAGTTGCCCAGCGTCCTACTTAACTTGGATAGAACCTGTTGATTCAAGTGTACTTGGATGAACACAAACAAAGTAGCTTAAAAGTGTTGCGGGCGCAACGTCCAAGCAGACTTTAATCAAGTACACTTGGATCGTGTCAACCCGCCTTAATTGTATTTAGGTACTTTCTCTTTAGTAGCTTTACTAGCTTTTCCTTTAACGGAGATTGTTTCGTCTTCAATCTCGTTCTTGCTGACAATCCTGATTTTGTTTGTTATATCATCTGGAAATGGTAGAAAAGTGTTTGAAAGATTGGTTAAAATACATGCAGTAGATTGTAGAACTTCGTGAAGCAAATTTTGAAAAATATTAGATCACAACACAAGCACCTTGGAACCTCTTATAATGTGACACAAGTTTAAAATTAGGCAGATAATTAACAAAAATATGATTCTATGACTTCATAGATTTAAAAAATATTTCTAGCAGTATTGATAATATAACTCAAAACTAAAAAATATATTATTAAGTAATAAAATAATATGTACGCGAAAAAAGAATAATTATTTGTTAATAATTCTAGATTTACTTTTTAATTCCACACATTTCTTAATCATATTATAAATATATTAACAATAAAATGTTTTTAGTTTATTTAAATAATTGGTTAGTATCTACGACGTGTTAGATAATTATATCTATTATATCATCATGAGAGAATTATTATTTTTTTAATCCATATTTTTCCAAATACAAACAGTGGTTAGTTATGAGGTGTGAGAACACCTAATTAGCAATAGCGTATGAAATTGTTGTTAAGTAAATCATATTTAATACGTAGAAAAACTATAAAATATTTTAGTAATTACTTCTTGAATGGTTTAACTGAATAAGTATACTAATTGTTGTTTTGCATTATTCAATAAAAATATTTAAAAAAACATGTGGCTTTGTATAAAAATATTGTATTTCGTCGTAGTAGTAGTTTCGGAATAATTTAACGAAAGACATTTTACTTATCGAGCCGTATTAATTTATAGCTTTTTGATATAATTTTTGAATGAGATGTTTTTTAAGTGCCCCATAAATTTAAACAACGCTTTTGACGAAGTAAGAATTAGTAACGCGATACATTTATTATATGACAAGGGAATACCACCAAATTTATTGAAAATGATTAGAAATATAAATAAAGACAACACAGCGATGGTAAGGTCCGAAGGAAGACTCTCGCAATATATGTGACAAACTCACTCGACACTGAGGAGTAGGCAGATTGAGACCTCAGTGCCGAGAGACAGTTCTTGTATTTTATAATACAGAACACGATACTGGTACGTTTCGAGTGAGGGGAGTAGGCAGATTGAGACCCCGAACTCGAACCGAACCGTATCCCTCTTGATAATGGCTCCAAAATGGGAGCCGAAACGTCGAGCATTAAATTCTCAACGCGGTTCTTCCCGAGAACCTAGTGATTTTCATATATATATATATATAATATATATATTATATATATATATAATATATATAATATATTTATATTTATATATATATAATATATATATATATATATTAGTATGTTTCGGAAAGATTTCCGCGGTTAGTACAATAAAAAACTAGTAGTAGTGACAGTGCTGTGAATCGTGAACAGTGTATGTAGTGTCTGGGGGCTCGGGAGACTGAGACCTTGGAAGCCCTGAGGAAGGCATCAGAGAGGATGCCGAAAGCTTGGCAAAATGGACATCGACGCGGTTCAACCCGGAAGACTGTTTGATATTAATTTTAGTAATAATATTAATCTTAGCTCTAGTTTATATATATATATATATTATATTATATATATATATATATATATATATATATATAATATATATATATATATATATATACTTAATAAACCTAAAAGTATTTGTCACTTAAGAAAGATATAGAAATTATAATATCGAAGATACTATAATATTGTTAGAAACGATATATCAACGCTTCCTTGGATGTCAGACTAAAGATCAATATGAATAAAATGCAAATAATCACTAATCTGGTGCTAAATCGTAATATTGCTGTTTATTGAAAGATTCTTAAACATACTCCGTCATAAAATTCCTAGCGTATGCAATTTGGTTATGAAAGGGAGACATTAACACTCACCAAAAAAGATAGTAAACATGATTCACGTGACTCAGAGAACTATAAAGCACCAGATATTGGTTATCTTTCTAAAAGGTAAAGCTCAAATGAAGAAATACGTCGCAAATTAAAAAACAACACACTCTATCGAAAGAATCTTTTCGCTGAAATGAACTTGGGCTTGACCAGACGCCAGATTATGTGACAAACGATGGACAAGACGTATTGTCGAGTAGAAGCCAAGACAAATACCATTACGGAGCAGAGGCAGCCCACCAACAACTGACGATCTTAAGCGTGTTACCAGTAACTGGTTGTAAGCCGCATTAGACAGAGACAGATATTATGACATATGACAAAGACCTATGTACATGCAGTGGACGCATACAGGTTAATGATCATGATGAATGAACAAGAGAAGGTAAAATTAATATTAATTTATTACCTTAATTTCGGTTCCATCATCATTAATGTAATTATACGCTCCTCTTAGATCTCCACCAGCAACTTTTTTCTCAGTTTTAGCAATATCTGGGATGTTATATCCATAAAGGTATCCTCCTATTCCGTCTTGTCCGTGATACTGTCTAGCTAAGTAAATATCTTCCAGGACCTGCAAAAAAGGCGGTTTTAAAATAAATTCTTTGATTTTTAATTTAAAATCTAATTTGGGCATATAGTCAGTGCACACATGAAAAAAAAAGATACAAAGAAAGATCACAGAAATAATGACCATGAGAAGATTAATTTCTTCGTGAGAGTATATTTCAATTATACACAATCTAATAATGAATAATTCAAATTTACATATACTTTTATACAGTATTTTATATAATACAAAATATTTTTAAAATTTTTCAATTCGTCTATAATATCTAAAACTCAGTTTAAAAAAGCGTCATTGAATCTACTAGCTTAATAGACCTTAATCGTAAAAGTACTTTACAAAAATATGTAAAAATATTCTTTAGATGCTGGCACATAAAGAAAAATTTAATTAATTTTACAATATAGTCCAGTTAACACGTATCCAGTAACTGAAACTAGTCTCGCTGGCGTGCCAATTAGACTGGCAAAATAGTAAAAACTAACAACTGATTCGTACTGATACGAATTAAAAAATTTTAAAATTTTACAAAAAAGACATAATGTAAAAAAATACAAGTCAAGTTAACAAGTCTAAATAAATATTAAAAACAATCGCAAAAACACAAGAATTAATGAAAAGACATTGTACATATCTTAACTTTAAGATCGAGATATGTAATACGAGTAATGAAAAGGGATCAGAATTAAGTCTTTACAGAGCAAAAGTGGAAAAACGTAAATGAAAAATAGCGGGATTTGTCATTTGACAAAATAATGAAATATGATAATATGTTGGCGATCAAATAAATACAACGAAAGAAAAGGAATACTTTATATAGTATCAAACATTATTTTAATCAAGACATTAACACGTCCAGATTAATGATAATAATGTAGAAACTGTTGAAATATATGGCGATTACTAACATACGTCCAAAAATAGATTAAATAATGGATGAGACACTTTAAACTATGAAAAGGCAATGCAACTATTCATAAGCAATATTTTTGCTGTCTTGCCGGTGCCTTTGCATAAATTAAGTGCAAAACAATATAACTTTCATAGAAGCTATATTAAGAGTTGAATAATACCATGTGTTTATAAAAAGACGAAAACATTTAAGTAAACAAATCCAAATTAAATGTTAAAAGTTAAAATAATCATATATTATATAAATCAAACATCACGGAACTTTTATTTAAGTTGTATTGAGTAACTTAAATAAAATAATAATATTTAATATTAAATAATTAATAATGTAATACAATATTGCAAAGAGTTTTAAAAATATGTTTTAATTCGTGCAATGCAATATTTAGTGCAATATTTTTTGAAAGAATTGAGGTCGTACAAGTGTATAAAGTGGCGTTAATATACGATACTTAAGTAATATTTTTTATCTATTTATCTATCGCCCGAAATCTATTCATGTGTTGAATATAGGCCTCTCCTATTTGTCTCCATTTGTCTCTGTCTTATGTTTGTCTTTTCCACATTGGACTTACGCTTTGCTTAATGTCATCTTTCCATCTCATTTGCGGTCGACCTCTTGACCTTTTTGCAATATATGGTCTCCAGCGGCCAATTTCTTTATTCCATCTTCCATCCTGATATCGTTCGTTATGTCCAGCCCATTTCAATTTTAATTTCAAAGCATGTTCGACAGCGTCTGTTTGTTTCGGTTTTGCATCTTATCCACTCGTTCCTCCTTTTATCTCTCACGATATTCCCAACATTTGTCTTTCCATAGCTCTTTGAGTTTTCTTTATTCTATCTAAGTTGCTCTTGGTACACGTCCACGTCTGGGCACCATATGTCAGAACAGGTAGGACGCATACATTACATACCTTCGTTCTTAATTTTACAGGTATTTTTTGGTACACAAAAGGTACTTGATAATCTGATAGCTTGTTCTAAGTAAATATATTCTTGAACGTATTCTATGTTTGTTCCACCTATGGTAATTACTGATCTGTCTTCTGTATTAGTCATTACTTTAGTTTTCTTAGGTTCCATAATTGTTGCTATCAGGAGTACAACATCGGCGAATCTTAGATAGTTTAAATATTTTCCGTTTATACAAATCCCTTTATTGTCCCAGTCTATAGATTTAAAAATGTCTTCTAATGCCAGAGTAAATAGTTTGGGTGAGATTATATCCCCTTGTCTGACACCTCTACAAATTCTAATTAATGGAGTTTTCATATCTCTGTCTAGCTGAATTCCCATAGTGGCGTTTTGATATATATTGTGGATTAACATTCTGTACCGTAAATCTATTCAGCAATTAACTAGCGCTTTTTCCACTTCCCATAGTTCTATGCTGTCAAACGATTTTTCATAGTCAACAACCGCTAGGTATATTGGAAGGTTGTATTCGTTGGTCTTTTCTATCAATATTTTAAGAGTGTGAAGGTGGTCGGTTGTGCTGTACCCTTTTCTAAATACTGACTGCTCAGTGCTCAACTGGTTGGTATGCATCAAATTTGTTGTTTAGTCTAGTTGTGATCACCTTAGTGAAAGTTTTATAGATTTGTGACAAGAGAGATATTGTTTCTATGTTAAGCTAATTTTTGATCTATTTCCTTTTTTATATATCAGAATTGTATTTGCCTTGTTCCACTCTTGCGCTTTTTGCCCTTCAAACAAACATTTTATCTTTTCTGCTCCTTCTTTCAACATTTCAATAAGAATTTCATCAATTACTATTAAACTGGGAATAAGCCACAATTAAAGATAAAAATACGTTTATTGACGTTTCAATTTCCACTTCGGAAATCGTTCTCAAAATACAAACAGTAAATTAAACAAATTTAAACAAAACAAAAAAAAACAAAACAAAATTTGTTTAATTTACTGTTTGTATTTTTGAGAACGATTTCTGAAGTGGAAATTGAAACGTCAATAAACGTATTTTTATCTTTAATTGTGGCTTATTCCCAGTTTAATAGTAATTAATTTACAATGCCACAAAAAAAATAGCTTCAGAACAATATTAAGAATTTCATCGTCTCCCGGAGCCTTATTTCTTTTCATATCTCTAATTGGTTTTTTCTATTTCTTCTCTAGTTATGGGGGGTAATATTTCAGAGTTTATATTCATTATTTTCTTTTTCAGGTTTTGTTAAGTTGTATCAGGTGGACTGTTTTTAGAGCTGTAGAGATCACAGATAATAATCCCTTGTTATCTTAGATATTTGGGTTTTGCTTTTTTAATTAAACCTAGTTTATTTTCCATCTCTATGATTTTATTTCTTCCTAGGTTGGACCTGATAGATCTTAAGTTTCTGTTTTCTTCTATAATCTTCTCGATTCGTTCTTCTTGATGCCGTTTTGAGATCTTGTTTTATAATGCTTCTTATTTATGTATTAAGGTTTTATATTTAGTTGTATTTCTTTTATTTTCTTGTAGTAGGCTTCATCGTTGTTGTAGCATGTCTACAGATATGGCACTTAGTTTTGATTTTTTCTCTAATTTTGCTGGTGCTACTTCTAAGCTAGTCTCTAGAAGTTCTTCAGTGATGGCTTTGTTTATTTGATCTAGATTTAGATCAGTGTGAGCTTTAGTTCTTCAGCTGTTCCTAATTTGTTTTAGTATTGCTCTTTATTCTCCTTTAATTTTTCTGGGTGGACTTTTTCTTAGAGTGCACATATTGTCTTCGATCTTTTTTGTGTTTAATACTTATTTTAGCCCGTATCATTCTGTGATCACTACCAGTAGAGATTGAGTTTATTATCTTATATTATTTTGTTTGTTAGTATATAGTTAATTTTATTTTAATGTTCCCATCTGGCGACATCCACGTCCATTTCCTATGTGGCTTTTTCTTGAAGAAAGAGCTCATGGCAAATATTTTTTATATCTTCCTTTAAAATTCTTATTTTGGCGAATATATCTTAAATAAATATTTATTTCAAGATATACCAAAAATATTTTTGTCTATAATAAAATAATAATAATTATTATAATCAAAACCATCCATCTTACCGGGAGCTGCCAGACGTTTGTTTGTACTGATTATAAAGAACGCCAAGACTCGATAGAAAAGATTATCCACTACGAACTAACAAACTGAGACTTATCCAAACCGACCATCTTTCTTATTATCAATACATCCCTAAGAGAATGCTTGAAAACGACAACTATAAGCTATACTGGGACCGCACTGTGCTCACAGACCAACCAGTGGCACATAATAGACCGGATCTCATACTAGTTAATAAGCTTACTAGGCAAATAACACTAATTGATGTGGCGATACCTACCAACAATAATCTGCGTGTTAAATACAATGAAATGATCGCCAAGTGCAGAGATTTAAAAAAAACAAATTAGGAGACTATGGAGAATGGAAAGTACCCAGACAGTACCTACTATTTTATCTACTGCTGGTGTTATTTCTAAAAATCCCTTAGAGGACATAAAACAGCTGGGTCTTAATAAATATCTTTATAAGACCATGCAGAAAGCTGTACCTACTTCTCGCGATGTCCAGATGTATACGAAAATTTTTGGGGGATACTCCAGCAAACCAAATCACCTAGGGCTCGATAACACGAAAAGAGTCCTACCAGAGCTAAATTATAATTATATTATATAAGTGTTACTTACATTGTGAGGCTCGTTTCCCAAATATCTTACTGCGGGAACATTAGAATCTACTTTTGGTGCGTAGTGAAGTGACTGGTCCTGTTGTTCTATTTGCTGTTGTGCTTCTGGTGGATCTAAGTTCACCAGACGAACATCTGCGGCTAGAAATGCTGATAAAATACTAGTGAATCCAAACTAAAAAAGGAGAAAATATGTAAAAAATGAAGTTTTCTTTCTGTTTTCTTACAGTAGGTGTCGCAAATGGTTCCCAATAATGATATTGAAACTTTTTTGATGACAGTTTCTCGTGATTTTTATTAAAAAATATGATTTAAACGTAATTTTGTACGTAATACTGACATTTTTGTTTAAACACTAATTTTCACCATTTTCGTGACAAACGCATATATATAGTTCAAAGTCTGATACGAGAAGTTTAAATATTATGCCATTTATGCACTTTCAAATAGGGACTACTGGGAATAGGATCAACTATGGGAAACAGTGCTTGGACTGTCAAATAACGATCATTTATTAATTTCATTTAATGTGATCATTTTTGTAAAATACTTATTTTTGCTGTGATGGTATAGTTAAATTTTTTTAAACCTATCCTTAATTTTTCGAATGGTTCTGAAGCTATTTTCTTTTCTTGTGGTACATATTTTAAAGTAGTTACTATTTTAGCAGGAATACTCTACAATTGAAGGTTAAAATAAGTTTATTTACTTTTCAATTTCCACTTCGGAAATCGTTCTTAAAATACAAATATTATTGAATTAAACATTTTTTTTAATATAAAATTTGTTAAATTTATTGGCAATAGGTTGACATAGAGACTGATTTTAAATTATCATCAAGAAGTTCTGAGTATAATCCGCTTGTCTATTATTTTCACTTACAATTGAAGACATAAATATATATATTGATGAAATTAATTCACAAAATACTCTGGAAAAAATACAAAATACTGTTAATTTCAGAAGTGGACAGAATAATATGTTTTTAAGCTTCAAAAGTCTTTTAAAAGCTTTAGTAAAGGCATATAAGTTGAGGGTACTGACTTCTATGCCTAACTGCCAATTGACGCAAAAGGAAGAACGAAAGGATTCTATATTTGAATTATATATTAAAAGGGCATCAATGACAACTATGCAAATTACAGGTTGTAAGCAGGTTTTAGAGCCGGAAGGTCGCCGGTGAACCATTATTTTGCGTTGCACAAAAGAAAATCATTAAGAATTAAGAGATGCTTAAACGAATCTAACTAGCCTTAAAATAAAGCAACATTAACATAAACATAAGGCTAATTACAAAACTATGTAATAATACACAGTATTGTCGAGTAAAAATAATTGTGGAGGATTAGGAATTCCATTAAATAAGAATACAATCCGTATTCACATTGTGCTTTGCCGACGATCAGATCGTGATGACACAGGACCTCGGTGATATCGAATAAATGAAAAGAAAACACCTAAGAAAATACAGACAATGGAGATGAGAATAGACACAAATAAAACAAAAACTATGTGCATAGCAGGAGTAAACCAGAACTTAATATTATAAAGGTTAGAATACATCAGACCTTCTGAAATAAAAAGTAGATCACACAATTGTAGACCAGATTAGGATGACTTATATGGTACGGCTATATACAGAGAATGACGGAAGATAGACTACCAAAGCAATTGTCAAATTGGTTACCGCCGGGATGCAGAAAATGAGGATGACCCGAAGAAACTAAAGAGAAGGTGTAGACAGGAAAATTTGAGATAAAGGTTAGGAGGGTATTATGATAAGCTTTTCTAAGTCAAACGGGATGGATATTTGGTTTTTCTTCTCATTTTTTGTGTACCAGAAAATACATTGTCAAGGTACGCTCTGTCAGCTCTGATTCTTAATATAATATATCTTATTTTGTGTTTGCCCTAAGTATAGTTTTCTTAACGAACTCATACTAATTATCGTCATATTCGACAAGGATTTCTGTTAACTTTTTTATGTCAGCTTTTGCATGGTAAATTCTATCTATTTGGCATTTCTTTTACTTATACACGTTTATTTACTCTTTCTTAATAAGCTCAATACGTCTTTACGTAATTTCTCTTTAAAGAAGACAAACTAGGAAGTAAAGATTTTAAATATGTAACATGTAAAATTTTGAAGCCTAGAAAGCCCAATGGGCAACCATGGCCCTCCTTGGGCTGTTAATTATCACAAATGATGATGAGGTATATTTTATAAGATCCTATTTCACCAAATCAATAGGAATATTTTGCGTTTCAAAAATGCTTATCAATTTTTTGTTACAAGTTACAGTTACAAGGCTCTTTTGAATTCATTTATGGTAATTTTTTTACGAATGCGTTCTCCTTCTTTAAGTGCCATCTCCGCGATAAAAAATCGCAATCATCATGGCTATTCTGACCTTTGAGGCAGTTGCTCTGAACAATTGCCTTGAGCTGCAACCAAACCACTCTCCCAGGTTCTTCAACCAGGAAACGTATCTTCTTTCTACGCTTCTCCTACCCTTTATTTTTCCTTGAATTATTGAATTACTACGAATGCGTTAGAAAACTAAATTGCATAAAAAATAAGATGTACCAGAAATTGGAAAGTACCGACCTATCAGGGACCCAATAACAGACTGGAAACTAAGCTAGATTTTCAGAAACCACTAGAGCAAGCCGGATTTAGGAGTGGCTTTGGAACGAATGACCACCTACAAGTAATAAAATCCTTGATAGAGAAAGTTATAGAATGCTACAAATCATTGATATTAATATTTGTAGATTTAGCTCCATAGCTTCATGCTTCAAGAGCTGTTACAGAGCGCAGTATTGGCTATAGGTACACAACTCCATGTTGTTCTATATCAAAAAGTATCCTACCAAAAAAGTTTTTAGAAACCTAGATCCAAACATAACCTCAAAAAAAAATAAGATGTATTTTTTCGTTTTTTTTTTGGCGATATGTTGTTCTATCTGAAAAAGTATCCTACCAAAAAAGTTTTTAGAAACCTAGATCCAAACATACACTCAAAAAAACAATAAGACGCATTTTTTCGTTTTTTTGGCGATGTGTTGGGTTCTAATCATCGTAGAAACTTACTTTTTTTCAATTTGTAGGTTATTTTATTGCATACATGTTACTTTTTACAAAATTTTGGCGGAAAATTCAATTATCTTTTATTTTTAGTTATTGGGATTTTATATCTTTTAAACTTACACAGAAAGCCCAGTTGTTTAAATATCTAGAATTTGTATGTATACTTTAGTAAAATTACATACGATGCCCACACACACGTTTTTATAAAAAAAAATACTACAAAATGCTATAACAATTTTTTTTGTAGCTCAACCTTACTTGAATTTTGCCCTTAAGAATTATAATTGATATAGATGGAGGATACCGCCCTCGTTGAGAGCGGTAGTGGTGATATCTTTCAATTTACAATTGTTTTTTATTTGGGATATACTTGAAAAAAAAAATCAAAACAGCTTATCAATAATGTAATGATTTTTTTTTGGAATATTACTTAGGGAAATTTACTATCTTAACCAGCTTGGCCAAAAATGATTTTTCGTTATTTTGACCATGATGCCCAACTTATAAAAATCTGAAAAAATTATAGAGATAAATTGCTATTCAAAAAATAATTTATATATTTTTTGGAGTGACATTAAAGACAGTTTTTGTAAACAAATTTTACAAATTTCAGAAACGTAAAAAAAATTGAATTTTCCGATAAAAAAATAAAAATATTATGTTGTAGACAATAAAATGCCCTACAAATTGTAAAAAGAATTAATTTTTTTGAGGTTATGTTTGGGTCTAGTCCTGATTGCAGACGATTTGGAACAAACAAAGAAAATGTTGGAAGAACTTAGTACAGCCTGTCATAAAATAGGTTTAAAAATGAATATAATAAAATCAAAATATATGACGAACCTAGTACCAAGTTAGCACCTTGAAATACAAAATGAAGAAGTAGAACTGCCAGACAAATATGTATGTATGTATATATATATATATATATATATATATATATATATATATTATATATATATATATATATATAATATATATATATATATGAGTAAGAAAAAAGAAGTACTTGTGACTCGTTTGGAAAAATTATAACACTGTTTTTGATGGGTTGGAGTCAATAAAAGGGGCTATTATTATAAATTTTAATATTATCAAAATCCATAATAAGTGATTGTAGAATTAAGAAACCATCTTGTGCTTTGGTAGAGCATGTAATAGACAAAGACCATATTATGGATTTTGATAATATTAAAATTTTATGTAATGAAAGTAATAAATTTAAAAGAACTTTTTTGGAAATGGTTTGTATTAGCAAAAGTGATAATAATTTAAACAAAAGGTCAGAAATTCAAAATTTAAGCAAAATTTATAATTATATAATTTCTATTTAATTTATATATGCAGTCAGTAAAATATTACATTTTGAATTTTCCATGTATTTGTTACATTTTTTTGGGCATCTATCAATGGTGAATAAATCTTCTTCTTTTTTGTTACTAAACACAGAAGAATTTTTTAAACAAAATTTTATTTTTGATAATATGTCAAAAATAAAAATTTTTAAGTTAGTATTTATGACATTTAGGCTGGTTGTAGCTATTCTATTTTTGTTTACAAATTCAATTTTTTTTTCTTAAGAAACTTCATCAAAATTTTTCAGAGAAACATTTATTAGAATAAGACATTTTTTTATTAATATTTTTTGTATTTAATATGTAAGCAGTAGTTTTATATAAAAAATTAATTTTATTTGGTAAGTTAACAAAAAATTTTTTCTTTCTAGTTCAACTTTGTAAGATATTTTGTATTTTTTAGAAGCTCTTGATAAAAATTGTAATCACAATTGAAAGCTCGAGTAAAAAATAGTCAACAAATGGCCCCTTTTATTGACTCCAACCCATCAAAAACAGTGTTTATATATATTATAGTGTATATTATATATATATATATATATATATATATATATATATATAGAAAAGAAATTTAATCTTTGCAGATAAGTTAAATAGTAAACTCTTAAATATTGGGGAAATCTGCAAAAAAAACTCTAATGTGTATCAATTATTTCACCTAACGTTTTCGCCAAAGAGAATTTGGCTTCTTCAGGGCTGAAAGAGAATAAATTATAATTAGCTACCATA